GTTCTAATTTTCAGGATGACCTGAATGGAGTATGTGCATGGTCTTGCCCTCATCGTGTAGCTGAACTTTTCTTAACAAAGCATACAGCGGGTCAGTTAGGTGAATTCACCCAGTGACATCACACGTACACACACGTACACACACACAGGGACTGACATAGGGTGGGGATCATGGAGAAGAGAAGCCAGGAACCAACTTCCTGAGACCATTTCTGATCCTTTTGCATCTTTTCGTCTGTAAGGAAAACTCTTCATTTCTTGACAGTTCTGACTGCTGCGTCATTGCTGGAGATTTCTATCAAATGTGTCCACAGGAATTAACCTGAGGATATTCTCTCACAAAGCTGCAGAGCTGAATGAGGCATTCCCACATCAGAGAGCAAGAGTTAAAACATCACATACATGACCAGCTTTTAAAAAATCACATACATAGGGTAGTGCCTGTGGCTCAGTGAGTAGGGCACTCGCCCCGTATACCGAGGGTGGTGGATTCAAAGCTAGCCCTGGCCAAACTGCACACACACACACACAAAAATAGCCAGGCATTGTGGTGGACGCCCATAGTCCCAGCTATTCAGGAGGCTGAGGCAAGAGAATCGCCTAAGCCCAAAAGCTGGAGGTTGCTGTGAGCTGTAACACTACAGCACTCTATCAAGGGAAATCAAGTGAGACTCTGTCCCTAAAAAAATTCTCATTTTCTCCTTGAGTGACGAGCATGTAGTAGTCTGTGTAAACAGCTGAATCTTATGTCTGCCAAAACATAGTCATGTTCCTGAGGACCATTCCTGACAAACTCTGCAAGAACTCAAACAGTGAAACAATAACACCTCTGATGAGCTCTCTCTGCTTATCTCTGCCTTACACACACTTTCTGGTCCTCCGTATCCTTTTTCTCTGTTATTTTCTCCCCTTTGGAGAGATACTTCCCATTTGTATTCTTTCCATATCTCTGTCTCTATAGTTCACTCACCATCTCTGTCTCCTTGCTGAAATATAAACACAGTTGAAATAAATCTTTCCTCTTTTGCCTAAGAGGCATTTTTTTTTTCTAAAAAAATTCAATAGAACGTTGGATGTCAAGAATTTTAGTTGCCCATCTGTCCCTGGTACAGTAATATAGGAAACCTAAAACTTAGTATGCTCAAACGTAAAAGCTATATTAAACCACTTCCAAGCTTTTAGGGTTGTACATACATGCACAGTCTGATGCACACACAGGAGATGGGGCCTAAAGTGAGATTTTGGCTGGTTGTTCTATTTCAGTACAAGGGTACTTCTAACCCATGGCAATATCCATTTTGAAACTAATATTTTTTTGCATGCATAGAAAATAAAATAGGTATGTCATCTATAAGGATTTTCCTCATTTATAACAAAACTTACATGTCGTCTTTCTCTTGGTTCTCTCTCCCTCTCTTTTCTTAAAAGGAAAGTCCCCCATTAAGGGTGGCGACATGACTACTCCCTGTCCCCTGCCCTCCTTGCTGGGTCCTTCACTTTTATAACTGGCGTTTCTCAGGCCCCGCAGGCTGCTTTCCCACAAAGAACTAGAAACCATTATTTCAGGAACAAGAGCAAGTGAAGGTTGAAAGTTCTGATTGCGTCCCTCAAATCCTTTCATTCCTAAGAGGCATCTTTGCTGAAGCCCATGGCTACATTTCTTGAGGACGATAGGATGTAGCAGTCAGTTGGCTAAAGTGGCCCTCTGCCCTTATTTTTACAAAGAAACCATAAATTACATTTTAATGCCCAACTTCTGTGACAGATTCATCCCATCCCAAACATAATCCTGAATGTAAAATGTGTCTTCAACTGCTGATCTGTCCCCTAACACAAGGACTAGTGGCCAGAAACCAAGACATATCTCTGATCATTAGGCCAAGACAAACGCCACCTGTAAAGGAACTAAAAGGCAAACACAACCGGACTGTTCCCTGATGGCCCTTGAAGAGTTGCAAATTAGTATGGGGTGGACCTGCCTTTTAGGAGAAAATCAGGTTTACACCTATGGATTCAATTATTGCCCATGAATTTTACTGCCTTTGATTAATTTATCAGGAAAAAGTCTTGTCTTTGCTGATGATTAAACTGATAATGATAATAGTAATAATAACAGTAACATCAATAATAATACGTGCCAACATGGAACACCCTGTGTGTATCCTGTGCATATATTAGCTCCTTTAATCCTTATAAAGACCCCCTAAGAAAGTCACTATTATCACCTTCACTTTAAAGCAGAGAACGTAATAGCAACATTAGACGAACATGGATAAGTATGTAGATTAATGGCAAGCAAAATTTAGAGGAAGAATGGGGAATGGGGAAGGATAGATAGATAGATGGATAGATAGATAGATAGGGATATATATACTTGAGTCGAGAGAAACCAGGGGAGAAAAGAGTTAGAATTATAGTTAACACAAAAAGATGAAGATAAGCTACTTGGGATCATTCAACCCAATTCTCTTAGGATCAAAGGTAGCTATAGTGAAGGGAAGATGAACAATTAAGTCAG